AGCGGATGCACTGACAATATGCTTAGAGTCCAAACACTGCTTGGTTCATTCATTCTCAATAAGTGAACATTGAATTTGACACATATATTGTTATTGTTATTAAACTATTACAGGAATGCACACCGAAATGCTGCTAACTGGAGCAGATATACAGTAAGAATCCGACATCAAATCGTTTTACAAAGCATATATATTTTTCTAAAGTCAACATTTGTAGCTAAAAACGTTAACAAAACGAATAGACTATTTGTGTTGCTGAAACTACGAGTTGTTGAGCAGAGCTGCTATGAAAGTTTTAGTTGAGAGCTGACTTCCTGACTTCGCTGCTTGAATGTAGTGTTTAGTGGCTGCGTTTGCCATGGTATCACCTGACAATAACACCGATAAGAATGTTGACTTTTAGCATAATGACCTTACACATATTCGCACATATCAATATGAGCCCGTATTCAACTGAAATAGTATTGGCGGCAGCAAGGATAGGGACGTAGATCGACGTAGATCTATTGGCTGAAGACGATCGGTCAGTTGTCACTACGGAAAGACTAGGGAACACACTTTTCTAATTTGCTGCGCATAACTTTCATTTTCGATTTCGGTAGAAAGAAACTTATTTCAGGCTCGGTGTTATGCTATACTATTGTTCACTCACTACCAACTAAAATTATCTCGATAAAAAACCCATGAAACAATGGCGAGTCTTCTTGAGTCAGGTCTATTTTATGTTTTAGGTGTGACTGTGTAGTGTGTGCACCTTTGCCTAGATAGATAGTAATTCACAAATGTCATATATTACAGACACACAAACACAAACGAGGACACAAATAATATATATATACAAATAATTGAAATAATACTGACAATGTTACACTCATACATACCTATTACACCATAATTTATAGATACCATATATATATATATATATATATATATATATATATATATATATATATATATATATATATATATATATATATATATATATATATATATATATATATATATATATATATATAGAATATATATATATAGCGTACAGTAGTACATATATAAGAAGAAGTTTCTGAAATAATCACACGACACGGATCTTCTCCAACATGTTTCACTTTTATCTTCAGGGAGAAGTGATAAAAGTAAAAACATGTTGAAGATAAAAGTGAAACATACATCTTATATATATGTATGTATGTATGTATGTATGTATGTATGTATGTATGTATGTATGTATGTATGTATGTATGTATGTATGTATGTATGTATGTATGTATGTATGTATGTATGTATGTATGTATGTATGTATGTATGTAGACACAAATAATTGAATTAAAACTGACAATGTTACACTCATACATACCTATTACACCATAATTTATAGATACCAGTATGTCAACCTGCTCTCGTTAGTAGCCTTTAATGACAAGCAGATGTTACTGAAGACCGCTGAAGACCAATTTTTTTTATAAATGATGTTAGATTATATATTGTATGTTATGTTATTTAAAGTTGCTTATTTTAGTGCTATATTTTTATCACTAGCAAAAACATCACTATTGAATAATCATTTCTTTTTTGTTCCACTTTAGCTACCATAAAACATGACTGTATGAGTCTTTTGACCGGCAGTTCATGTTCTGATTCTGTGACAGAAAAACAGTCTCTCATACCCATCCCACCTCCCCATCGCGCTCACGCAACAGGCATGGAATATATCACAATATCAACAAAGAACAACTGCCAATTACCATATAACAACTTAATCCATCGGGGTCATAGGGATCAACAAACTTTGCACAACCATTCATTCATAACTCTTAATCCCCACAGCCTGCCGGACAAGTAGTAATAACCCAATCTATCGTCCCTGTTATCCTTAATACTACATGAACGGATAATATCTTTTGGTTATCTGTTGCTAATCACCAAAATGAACCTCGACCAGAACAGGCGAGGTGAAGATAAGATAAGGTCAACTAACTTGAGAAATATGCCACATACATTGTATAAATACAGGCATATAGCAGTCGCTCCTGTGTCACACATAAACAACTGCCGTGTAACTGCCGTAAGTATCTTTTTCTTTTAAATAAGAAATGTAGGTTATTTGTCTTGTTTACTTAAATTAACATTTAGTTGAAATTTTCAAGATAACAAATGCAAAAAAGGGCTTTGATAACACTGACAAGATTTTATATGCAAGGTACGAAAATCAACCTTTTAAAGATAGATGATATCAACAGAAAACAAAGTTCAATTTACTAGAGTAATAACGCTAACAGTCCATCAAAGTTGCCGATGTAGGAAAGCAAAATTATATCTATTTGCTTAAACTGACATTGAAGTGTTATATTATAGCACGGTCATCAATAGTACTGTTATGTTACTGCGGAATGTAATTAACTAAATAATCACAAAAGCAACAACGAACACAATCAGGTCATACATAGTCACCCGAATCTCACTTGGCACTTATCTTAAGGAGTGGATCCTTATGGCCCAATAACATATAGCATATATAATATAATTTAGCTGGACATTTTTTCAAAAACCTTTATGCAAACATTATAATTTTACAAAGATTTTAGATGTATATATCTATAAAAAATAAATGTAAAATAAAAAACACAATATATGTAACCTGATGACAGAAAAGTGTAAAATACACTACCCCATATACAAAAATACTAAATGTAGTTGTATAATGTCTTTTTACGTTTGCATCCCACGTTCAGTTTCACTCAATTTCTAAAGTGGGTGAGTGAGTTAAGATTTTAAGACACATCGGCAATATTTCAGCCATATCGTGACTAAAAACAAGTTTCAATTGCGTAATAAATCATGGTAAATTATAAAAACCACAAGAAAAAAATGGTGATTCACAAAACTTTCTTACTGACAAACGTGGAAAATAATCGTGGACCTAGCACACATCCTTATCTTATTCCCACTGGACCCTCTCAGTATTGTAAGAAAGTATTGTATTTGAGTAATCTCACTTTTACACACTATACGAGGGGCGATCAAAATGTATGTAGAATCACCAAGAAAACGATACAAATGCAGTTATTTTTATGTTATATTTTTCTACATATTATCTGTCAAGCTCAAGCAATTTGGTTTTGCTATGTTCCAGTCTCACGATCCCCATTTTGTTTGACCTTCTATCTTGGTACCCTAAAAACCCGCAAAATCTACAAAAAAATGCATCAAAAACGTCAGGAAACAAAATATGCAAGAAATATTGTGTATGTTTGAGATTGATAGAAGTCCCCTAGAATCACACTTAGATATTAAAGTTCATAAAAAAAGCAATTTGAAATTACAATCGCTTGTTAAAGTGACTCCCCCCTTCATGTTGACTGAAAGAGCTTGTTTTGGAGACACTACCCATCCCCTTTTCAGATGAAGTAATCATAAGGGCATAGCTTATTTCTAATGTTTTCACTTATGCATACATGATGCCAAGGGTTCAAACCAAATACTGAACGGTCACACAAGTGTCAGCTAACAATATATTGTAAACAGTGCCAGCTTAAATATCTGGACAAAATGTTTTTGAAAGATTAGAATGGGGGTGTCCTTAATAAATAGCCCCCGACTAAATATAACTCAGGCAATCCAAATCTTTGACTGTTGATCATGACGGGAAGTCATCCGATACTATACTGAACATATTTTATATGACATTATCTTAGGGCATACCATTATCCAAGATGTACCAAAAGACAAATCGTTTTTCATTTTCTGCAATTTTGTTAGAAATATTATACCCCAATGTGTTGTGATGACAAATATCTGGTTAACCACATTACCCACACATGTGAAATTTTGGATATGGCTTTGCTAACGATTCCTTCAAAATAAAATGGAAGCTTTTCAAACATTGGACATCGAGAATATAGTTAGGCTACGTACTTTTTGATCGACCCTCGAAGATGGATGTGACAGCATTGAGTTATTATAGTATTTGTACAAGCCATAGTTTGGATCTATCAACAAGAACAGTGTCCATAAGCGAATGTGATTTATTAGTTTACCTTTCTTTCTTGATATATAGCATTGTAATCAGTAGTGCCGTATCCTTATTGAAACCCGCATGTGACTCGACCATTGTTAATTTGGCAAGCTCCAGTTTAATCATCCTAAACCATACAATCCCTAACTGTAACAGCCAGTGAAGATCCGGGTTAGAATTGATCTTCAGTAACCCATGCTTGTAAGAGGCGACTAACGGGATCGGGTGGTCGGCTCGTTGACTTGCTTGACACGTGTCATCGTATCCCAATTGCGTAGACCGATGCTGATGCTGTTGACCACTGGATTGTCTGGTCCAGACTCGATTATTTACAGACCGCCTCCATATAGCTGGAATATTGCTGAGTGGGGCGTAAACGTAAACTCACTCACTCACTCACCAACCGTTTAACATGCGCCCGGCGTCATACAGTTCACCTTCGGTACAACACCCAGGTACTTTCTTAGTCTTAGTGTATGACAACGCAATAAACTCTGAAATGGTAGTGCGGAAGCCTTGCGGTTAAAGCGTTCGCCCGTTACCTAACTGCAATGTTTGAAACCCAACTCTAGTTTCCGATGTCGCTATATTGCTGGAACACTGTTAAAACGACGCAAAACCAAGTATTCTCGCCAAGTATTCTTTTAGCGTTTCGTTGGTGGTTGAGTAGATATGTAGAAAAGACATTAGCGGCAATTCTGTGAATGAATAGATGTGAGTGGGTGAGTGGGTGATTGAGTGAGTGAGTGAGTGAGTGAGTGGGTGGGTGAGTAAGTGAGTATGTTTTCACGCCACTTTTAACAATATTCCAGCAACATCACGGCAGGGACATCAGAAAGGGGCTTCACACATTGTACCCATGTGGGGAATCGAACCCTGGTCTTCGGCGTGACGAGGCTACCCCACCCCTGTGAATGAATGAAAAAGATTACACTCAGTATTCGATTTGATGATGATGTCGCACAAACTCTTGATGTTACAGTTGAAGTACTACCGTCGTTAAGATGGCGATACAAGTCGCTGCTATTGGGGAAGGAAATCTGCTACTCTCCTGCGTTAAGGATCTGCAAACACCTGATTTCAACGTAGCCGCTGTGTTCACAGACTCCAAGCATGTGGCTGCATACTGTGAGGGTAAACACATTCCAGTATATCCGAGACGAGCCTCAATCACTGAACTGGTCGGCGTGTGTCACCTGGACTATCTCTTCAGCATCAGCAATCCACGAATCCTGAAGGAAAAAGAGATCCGTCTTCCGCGGCGCCTTGCCATCAACTACCATGACTCTCCTCTGCCTGCCTACTCTGGTGTCAACGCCACCTGTTGGGCAATTATGCAAGGGGAGAAGACCCATGGCATAAGTTGGCATGTCATTGAGACCGAGATTGACACAGGGCACATCATACGATCCGAAACAGTAGAAATTGATGATGAAGACACAGCCTTTACTCTCAATCTAAAATGTCAGGAAGCTTCAAAGATAGCATTCAGGTGTCTCCTACAGGATGTCCTTAAGAGTGACATTACAAGTGTTCCTCAGGACTTGTCCAAAAGATCCTACTATGGATTGAACAAACTGCTACCAAACTTAGGTGTGCTCTCCTTCAACTCACCCTGTGATACCCTTTACAATTTTGTAAGGTCTGTGGGGTTTGGACATCATGAAAACCAGTTAGGATCAGCAAAAGTTAGAACTGCAAATGGGGTGTTCCTTTTGGTCAAATCTGCAGAACGATCTTACAAAGGACCCCATTCAGCATTGCCTGGTACAATACTGGACGTTTTAGATGACACAATAGTGGTTGTTACTGCTACTTCCCAAATTCATCTTTGCCTTGCCAACTTGAATGGTAGTCCTATCCCTGAAACACAGTTCAAACACATTGGGCTGGCCACGGGGCTTGTCCTTCAGAACGACCTTACCATTGCTCCAAATGACCACCTTGTGGACATAAGAAAGAAGGAAAGATTTTGGAAGAAAATACTGAAAGCTTATGAACCTCTGACTTTCTTCCGCCAAAAGATGAATGTCCTCGCAAATATCATTGACATCTCTTCCAGAATAAACCTTCAAAGGACAAGGATATGTGAAATTGATATTGACACAGACTTGATGCATCTTCAGGCAGCCTTCTTGGGATTTCTTGCAAGGGTATGTTGTGTGGCTGATGTGAATGTTGGGTTTATTGCTGACAAAAGTGGTATTCCTGACAACTGCAGGGCGCTGTACTCTGATATATGCCCTTGTCTCTTCCATGTGAGGCTGTCATCAGAGTGTGAAGCTGCTATTGAAACGATTCTAAGAGATTTGAAGACGCACAATCTCGATAAGCCTTTCATGAAAGATGTTATGTACAGATATCCGGATGTGCAGATTAACAGATCCCCTTTCCACAACTTAGTCATTGGACAGCATTCATCATACCTCCCTCCGGATGTATTTCACGACTGCAACATCGCGGTGTTGTTTCCTGAGCATGGCGACGAGGAACGTTATTTGACTGCTGTGTACAACAAAAGGCCTGGACAGGACTACAACCAAATCATTGAAACATTGAAGCATTTCCCAAGCTTTCTGTCATCTGTATCTGCTTCACCTGAAAGTATTGTGTCTGATGTTTCGCTTGTGTCAGAAGAAGAGGTACAAACGTTGTATACTCCAGCTAAAGTCGGGCCCGGCCAAACAACATCTGTCATTGAAGAATTTGAAAAGCAATGCAGAAAAAGACCATCAGCAATTGCTTTGAAATCCTCCAAGAAGTCCCTCTCATATCAAAAGTGTTTAGATGAGGCAACGAATCTTTCAAAGCTTTTTAACAACAATTTGGAACATATGTTGAACCAACTGCAGCTCATACCCATTCATCTACCAAATTCCATCAGCTATGTCCTGTCTGTGTTAGCAACACTGATGAGTGGCCTCTCCTTCTTGCCCCTACCAGTGGATTTTCCATCAGACCGCATCATGTTTACATTGTCGGACTGCAATGCTGGGGTAATGTTAACATCCAAGGAACTATATGACAGCAAAGATTTTGAGCCTCTGAAAAATGTTTCAACAGTGATCTTCAGGACAACAATTGCTGGAATTCCGATTCTGTTGATCAGTTTGAAAATAAATGAAAACAGAGACATTCTTACAGAGAATAACAATGATTCCTTCTATGATGGGAATGGCAATGGGAACCTACCGAAACGTGCCACGCCGATAGGGGACCTTTGCTATGTCATTTACACCTCTGGGTCCACGGGACAACCGAAAGGTGTTCTAGTGAAGGAGTCGAGTGTCATCAACATGGTCTTCGCTCAGATCGACAAATGGAACCTAGGACCCTATGATGTGACAGCTCAGTTTGCCTCTATTGGCTTTGACGCATCAATATCTGAAATATTCACATCTCTTTTGTCAGGTGGGACACTTGCTGTGCTCAACAAGGACCAGCGACTTGGACATGAATTGGTGAACACTGTGACTATGCTTGGAATAACAACCATCACCCTCCCACCTTCTGTTCTGAACATATACTCACCATCAGATCTGCCAACTCTCCGAAATATCATTGCAGCTGGAGAGGTTTGCACACTCAGTATAGCCATGAAGTGGACAAAGCAAACTGGAACTCGGTTCTTCAATGCCTATGGCCCAACAGAGACAACGGTTTGTGCTACCATCTATGAATTTCATTCAAAGAACCACTTCGAAGAGGTCAACCAGGACTTGCCGATCGGTCTTTCGATATCTGGATGCCACGTATATCTGTTTGACGACTTTGTCAAACCGGTTCCTCCAGGAACTGTAGGTCAGATGTATATTGGCGGCCAAGGTGTATCTCGGGGATATATGGGTCACGCAGCAGACAGAAACCCAGAATCTTTTATACAGAATCCTCTCACCAATACGCCAGATGTACTGTACAAGACTGGAGACCATGCGTTCCAGGACAGCGATGGCAACATCACATTTGTCGGTAGGCTGGATGGTGAAGTCAAGATCAGGGGACAGAGGATTTCACTGAGTGAGATTGAGCAGGTATTGATACAACACATCATGGTCCAAGTTGCTGTAGTTGTTCTTCATAGATGCTCCATAACGAAGGAAACAGTATTGTCTGCATTTATTGCACCTGATTTCGTGTTCATCTCTGAATTGAGGGAATATCTTGCAAGGGTGCTGCCAAAGTACATGATCCCTGCCTATATCAAGAAACTCAAAAACCAAGAATTTCCAACCACACTGAATGGGAAAATTGACAGAAAAACTCTGTCAATGGATGAGAGTGTACACGATCAGTGCAGACACATTGGATATAGCCATTTGAATGAGGTACAGCTTCAAATTGCCAGATTGTGGTGCAAGGTTCTAAATTTGGATGCTTCCTTTACCTATTCCATGCATAGGATGAGCTCGTTCAGTGAGATGGGTGGAAACTCCCTTCATCTAGTCCTGCTACAGAGAGCAATTGAAGAAGGGTTCAACATTTCCCTCTCATTTACTGACATTGGTGCGGCTGATACTGTTGAGGTACTTGCCGAAATCATCACCAGGAAAAGAGACATTGCTAAAACTAATCATAACATGCCCAGGAGACAGTCAATCCAGTTAAACACCTACATCCTGTCGGATTCAGATCTAGAAGTAGATGCCAGTGCAAATACAGTCTTCGGGGTGAAATTAGGCCTGAATTGTTCGCCCCCATTTCATGGGAAGAAGAGTCCCATGACAATCCTGATATCCGGAGTCACAGGATTCCTGGGAGCATTTCTTCTGAGTGAGCTCCTAGAACACACTGTGGGCAATGTATGCTGCATGGTCAGAGAAACCACAGAAGTCAAGGGACTCGGCAGAGTGGTTGAAAACATGCGAAAATACAACCTATGGAAGTTTGATTATGGAAACAGAATCGCCATCGTTCTGTCTGACCTAAGGCAGGAGAAACTTGGAATCGCTCCAGACATCTACAGCAGTCTGACAAATGATGTTGATGCTATCTTCATCAATGCTGCTATGATGAACTTCAACGGAAGCTATGAAGATCACCGAATCGCAAATGTTGTCAGTACAAAGGAGTTTATAAAGTTTGCTGTCACTAACAAAAGGAAATATCTCTTCATGACATCCTCTCTCAGCGTGTTTCTGTTCCCAACGCCCGGTAAAAGTGAGCGAGATCAGTCTGTGATATTTGAGTGTGACTTTTTCGATGAACCAATCAACGTAGAAGGTGGCTATGGTCAGAGTAAATGGGCAAGTGAAAGACTGGTGTTGCAAGCACTAGAATTGCTACCAGGTGGCGCCATTTTCCGACCGGCTCGGATATCAGGTACTTCCACTGATGGTGTTGGCTCACGGAATGATCTCTTTGCCTCCACCTTGCTAGGGATGCGGAAACTGGGCAGTCATCCTGATATGGACTTCCCCTATGACCTGACTCCTGTGGATTTCTGTGCAAGAGCCATTGTGGAAATTGCCTGTATGATCAGAATCGGAAAAGGGAAAGGTCTCCGGGTGTTCCATCTGTTCAATAAAGACACTATTCCGTTCAGGGAACTGTTCCAAGGAATGGGGCTTGCCTCATTGCCCCTTGACAGATGGCGAGAAGATCTTCGCGGTGCTCCTGAAGACAACACCGAACTGCTCCCTCTGACGCCGTTCTTCATGTCGGCCTTCTGGGATCGCGCCCGACACTGGCCAGTGTTTGACACAACTAACACAGAGCTGCTGATCAGTGAGTCCACCAGACAGCTGCTGAGGCCAACCAGAGACCTTCTCAAGAAATATCTGCAATTCTTTAACATTGAAAAGAGTGTATGAACCGGGTGATCGAAACACAGCTACGCCATACCTAAGGGTCACATTGTTGGACATATTATTTTCATCTGTTTCAGGTGTGACTGTTTAACTAAGATTTTTTCCAAATTGGAAAGAATACTTCTTTTGAAAAAGGAGTGTTCCATAATTATCAGCTTGTTGTACATTAATATAAATATTGTGTCAGTCTAAGTAAACTTAGGCTCAGTATTGTTCGTTACACTGCTACTGAGACTCAGTATAGCAGTGTAACGAATAATACTGAGCCTAAGTTTACTTTGACTGAATATTGTGTATAATTGTAATCACAAGTGTATTTCATTTCACCACTTTCTGAATGGCTCTTTGAATAATTGCAACTATTGCTTGAAGCCTTTATTCATTAAAATCAATTGTTTAGTCCAAATCGGGCGATATTCCATCGGTTCGATCACTGAATTACATTATCTACACATAACACAAATAAAGCCTCACTAAATCACTCCATTCTCTCCCCATAACACAAATAAAGGGCTATCTGAATGATTCCATTCTCTCCCCATTACACAAATATAGTGCTATCTGAATGATTCCATTCTCCCAACACAATATTTATATTTCGAATAGTGATTTCGTGAGATATTGTGTTATTTAGGAAGAACAAGATGAATCATTGAGACGTCATTGTGTGAGTGAGTGAGTTAGTTTAGTTTTACAGCGCTTTCAGCAATATTCCAGCAATATCACGGCGGGGGACACCAGAAATGGGCTCCACACATTGTACCCATGTGGGGAATCGAACCCGTGTCTGCTGCGTGACGAGCGAACGTCATAGTGTTATTAGGAGAGCACATGGTGATTTAGTGAGGCGTTATTGTGATATATGAGAACAGAATGGAGTTAGTTAGCAAGGCATTATCTATTTTGAGGAGAGAATGGCGGTTATCTGGAGAAACAACATCTGTGTGTTGTAGAACGGAGTGGTTTACTGAGACACTATTAGTGTTATCGGTAGAGGGCATGGTGAATCACAAGGCATTATATTAAAGAGAAAATGGTTGTGATTTTATAGATATTGTGTTACTTGGAAAGGACAGGATGATTGAGTGAAAGTGTATGGGTGTTAAGAGAAAATGGTGAGGTGAGATGAGCTGAAATTGGGTCTTACGTCGTGCTTGAGAATATTTCGCTCATATGACGACGTGCATGCGTGTGTATACACAGTGCGGCTGCTTGTACTAGCCCAGACTTAAGCTGGTTTTATAGTGCTAGCCCACTGAGATACCATGCCGCAGTGAAGCATGAATACCCCACTCAGACACATTATACTGACTCCGAGCCGACCAGTCCTTGATGTACTCATTTTGCCGAGCGCCAGGACCAACAAGTACCATATTTTAACGTCTTTTATCGCGGCCGGGGATCGAACCCCGCGACCTTCCGCTCTCCGGGCGGACGCTCTAACCACTACACCACGGAGGCGGTCAAGAAAGAAGGGTAATGATTCTGGGAGACATTGTTTGTTATACGAGGAAGGGGTGATTCAGTGATTATTTGATTATTAGTGGTGGATGGGGTGATTCAGTCCGGCAGTATTAGTGTTATTTAGCGACAATTAGGTTGATTCATTTAAGCATATATATGTGTTAGTCGGAGAGACAATGAATGAATGGTACAATCTCTGTGTTGTTACAGATACCTGTTAATCCAGTGTCAATGTTGATGTTCCACTGTATCATGCTCAACTGATCTTTACTTCCCGTGTCTTTGATGCCATGACATGAATAAACATTACATTTAACAAACTGAGTTGATTTTCTGTCCGGGATATAAACTTAATATAACAATGACATCCATTTCCATAACGAGTGAGTGAGTATTATTGCTTTTAGCAATATTCCAGCAATATCACGGCGGGGGACACCAGAAATGGGCTTCACGCATTGTACCAGCGAGCTTGAGGTGTCGGGATCGAGCCCACCTGTGACCGGGTGTAAAAACCTCGGAGTCAACTTTGTGTGCAGACTCTTTCAGTGTTGTCACAACCCCTAGTGTACAGTACACAACCCTGTGCACTTAAAAGAACCCACGAATCCGTTGGTATATGACCAGATGGTGGCCACATGAATACGTGCAAACACCAAGTTGCGGGTACAGGAACGTGCAGTGAACTTGGACAAAGTACTGTGACTATGTGTCCCAGTCCACCCAGCTGTGAATGGGTACCTCGTTAGGATGAGAAGGCCACAATAACTCGGTGCGCCTAGTGGCTGCAAGAGTTGTATGATCCCCAGGGAGCTGAGATTGATAACACGATGTGCAGTTGAGACTGACATCCAATGATCGAGGGAAAAGATACCAGCGCCTTGAGCAAGCACTAGTTGCCTGGATATGTGCGCTATATAAATATCATATAATAATACCCATATGGGGAATCGAACCCGGGTCTTCGGCGTCACCAACTAGGCTACCCCACCGCCCCATTTCCATAATGACAACTCAGCATTTTCGGACTTGTTTTTAGAAAAAATATAATCGGAACTTGATTACATATAGTACAAACCTCATATGACCTGTCTGTGCTGACAACTTCCAGACTTTAAGAGTTAGTAAGTATGGTTTTACGCCGCTTTTAGCAATATTCCAGCAACATCACGGCCGGGGACACCAGAAGTGGGCTTCACACATTGTACCCATGTGGGGAATGCAACCCGGGCATCCGGTGTGACAAACAAACGCTTTAACCACTGAGCTACCCCCCAAACCCACCCACATACCCGTAAAGAGATAGCCTAGGCATTGCTGTTGGGGAACATAACTCTTACTTAATCTATTTGCTCATTTTAGATAAACTGATGGGCAGACACACAAACACACAGAGAAAAAGTAATTTGGTTACTCTGGGGTAAAGCCACACACCAGGACAGTGAGTGAGTTTAGTTTTACACCGCTTTTAACAATATCCCAGCAATATCACGGCTGGAGACACCAGAAATGGGCTTCAAACATGGTACCTATGTGGGGAATCGGGGACAAAAGAGCTTCTATAGTTTCATTCCATGTTGACAGCCATACATTATACATGCTCTTACCATTAACTGGATAGTGTCACTGACCCAACAAACCTATTACAGGAACTACTGTTGAGATCACCAGTACATCAGTGTGATACCTACTTGTCTGAAAATGAGTGAGTGAGTTTAGTTTTATGCCAGCTTTTAGCAATATTCCTGCAATATCATTGCGAGGGACACCAAAACATGGGCTTCACACTTTGTCTGAAACAGCGATTGCATTTCTTATTTTATGAAAACAGGCATGTTCACAGCAATACATTATGCATGCTTTTCATAATTTAATGGATTGTGTCAGTGAAGCAGAAAAACCAATAACTTATAAGGGGAACTGCTTTTAGTATCACCAATACATCCGTGTGATCCTTACTTGAATGAGGAGCTATTGTGAAACTGTTCTGAAAAAGTCCACATCTAATAAAGTAAATGTAGGTACTCAACGATTCCCATATACAGCGTTTCCACATTTTTGAGAAAATACAATTGATGATTTTTCCAGACAAATGTTGCTTTTTCCAGACACAACAATATATATCCTAGGGTATTTTGAGACTAACAGAACCACAAACATCGACTGTCAAACCTTCTCGAGAGGAGTCCAGTCTAGCGCAGAGACGTTTGCAGAATTCTTTATTACGAAAGTGAAGAACATTCGTGAAGACATAGCTAAACGGCAGTGCTGCAGCAACAATCCCCTGGAACAAGACCATTTTGCGGCACTCAACTTGTCGTATTTGAACCAGCAGAGATCCAAGAGATTACAGATACAATCACATCTGCGCCTTGTAAATCCTGTGAATTGGATCCAGTACCATCTTGGCTACTCAGAAACTGTCTAGAATCATGCCAATATCTTACTTCATCAGTCACCAATTCCTCTCTCCAAGAGGGCTCAGTACCGACATCTTTAAAAGAAGCCATCATTAGACCACTACTGAAGAATAACAATCTTGATCCATGTGTACCCAAAATTACAGACCTGTTTCCAACTTGTCTAAAGCGGGTAAAAACCAAACTTTCTATCAAACTTGTCTTTTCTAGTGTTGGAGAAGGTTGTTCTCAGACGATTGAAGAGTCATATGAACTTGCTTCAGTCATCTTACAAGGAAAAGCACTGAATGAAACCCTGATTTCAGTCAGCTTACAAGGCCCAAAAGCACAGCACTGAAACAGCTATCTGGGCAGTTCTTCTCAGAGTTCAGAATGACATATTGACTCAAATGGACAATCAAGAGGTTGTGCTGTTAGAACTACTCGACCTTTCTGCGGCTCCGACACCGTGGACCACACCATTCTACTGCAGAGGTTAGAGCACACTATTGGCATCACAGGAACGGCATTACAATGGTTCCAGTCCTACTTGTCAAATAGAACAATGAGAGTCAAGGTCCATAATGCGACTTCATCCATCAGAGAAACCCACTTTGGTGTACCACAAGGCTCTGTGCTTGGTCCGATTTTGTTTTCACTGTACATTCTTCCAATCGGCAATATCATCCGAAGTAACAACATAAAATTCCATGGTTATGCAGATGATAACCAACTCTACATAGGAATTACTTCAGCTAATGCTGAACACGCAAAAGAAGTTATGGAGAGCTGTATCGCTTACATCAAGATATGGATGACAAACAACTTTCTGAAACTCAACAACGACAAATCTGAATTCATGATCATTGGAACTAGGCAGCAGCTTCGCAAAATAGGCGAGTGTAGTCTCACAGTTGGAGATCAGTCTATCTGCCCTGTGCCCCAGGTGAAGAATCTTGGTGTTGTTTTCCGTTCTTCAATGTCCCCAGAATCACAAGCCCTAACAGCAGCAAGATCAGCAACCTTTCATCTCCGCCGAATAGGAAAAATCCGCCGCTATTTGGACATTGACACAACCAAACTTTTAGTTCAGTCATACGTCATCTCACGCCTAGACTACTGTAACTCTCTCGTGTCAGGAGCAGGAGCAATCAAACATCTCCAGCTTGTACAAAACAGAGCTGCCATGATCATAACCAGGACAAAATGTCAGGAACACACCACCCCTGTGCTGAGGTCGTTGCACTGGCTTCCAGTAAAGAGGAGAATACAGTACAAAATAATTTGCATCACCTACTCAACCCTCTATGACATCAATTCACCAGCTTACCTCAAAGACATCATCGAAATCTATCATCCAACTCGTGTCTTGAGGTCTGAGAAAAGAGGCAGCCTGAAAATGCCAGCTACAAAAACATCCATGGGAGACAGAGCTTTCAGTGCTGCTGCACCAGCTTTGTGGAACTCTCTGCCAGTTGAACTGAGATCAGTATCTTCCTTGGAAGCATTTAGGAGCGAACTAAAAACTCATCTTTTTCTAGCTACCTACTAGTTTCTCCACTTTCTCTGCACAGCGCCACTGACCAGCATTGGTTGGACATTAGGTGCTTAAACAAATGCATTATTATTATTATTATTATACCGTTAAACATATATTACTGTCTGAAATAAAACAATATCTTGCATACGGCTTCGGATCTCCCGACATAATAAAAATGAACATCAGTTTAACAATTTTTCTTTAACACTTTAACTATGTTTATTGACAAATAACCAATATGTTGATGGCTGCCATAGCCCTTGTAGTACTGCTGAGATATACAGTCCTGTATATAACCCAAGGCTATTCCATGTTTTCATCCATTGTTTCAAATTCCAAGATTTCTCCAAGACTGGAATATGGGGTGTGAAATTTCCAGGTCTTCTGGATTCGCCACCTGCTGAGTTCAGCAAGAGATGCTGAAGAATGTTCCTTCCGTTCCAGATTCCCAGGCAGTCCCATGCAACAAATCCGAACATTTTTCTCAGTCATGTTTTTAATGATCAGTTTACACTAGAAACCAGGCATTGTATGTGTTATGATAATATACGTACAAATACAAACACCAAAGTTCTATTTTCCAGCTGGATGAGTGAGTGAGTTAGTTCAGTTTTAGGCTGCTTTTAGCAATATTCCAGCAATGTAAGGCGGGGGTCATGAGAAATGGGTTTCACACATTGTACCCATGTGAGGACTCAAACCCGGGTCTTCGGCGTGACGAGGAAACGCTTTAACCACTAGGCTACCCTACCGTTCCTCCAGGTGGATGAATACAACATGAATGGAAAAGATATGATTACTGACATGTTGTTCTCAAGTCCCCACACTCTTCAAGCTCTGGATTGCATCAGCACAGTGTTTGATGAGTTGGCATAACTGTATGCTATACTCAACACTGTGAGTCTTAAGTAGCTCCTCAGATGCCCAAGTCAGCTTTCTGTGCACACTGTCGACAGAATCTGATATGACAGGGGAGACAACTGCTTGCATACCCCCTGTTAATCTGAGAGCACTGGGAACTGTGGATGTGACAGTGCCTTGAGAGCGGGTGGTACCCGTGGGTTGAGGATTCGGTGTGGCATCAGATGGAGCAGCTGGTTGTTCTGCAGACTCCTCCCCCACAATTCTCACAGATGAATGTTGTTGTTCTCGAACTTGTGCTAGAGCTGCAGTCTCGTTCCTCACTGGAACAGACAGGAAGACAATCATCACGCAATTGCTTTGGCTTCCATATACAAAGATGGACTGATATTAAGGTAGAAAAGTCATGTCCAGGATTTGGAAAACATGCCCATCCACCATGGATCTGCAACCATGCCCAACCACCCTGGATCTGCAACCATCCCCACCCACCCTGGATCTGCAAACATCCCCACCCACCCTGGATCTGCAACCAATCCCACCCAACCTGGATCTGCGACCATGCCCAACCACCCTGGATCTGCAACCATGCCCAACCGCCCTGAATCTGCAAACATTCCCACCCACCCTGGATCTGCAAACATCCCCAACCACCCTGGATCTGCAAACATTCCCACCCACCCTGGATCTGCAACCATGCCCAACCACCCTGGATCTGCAAACATTCCCACCCACCCTGGATCTGCAAACATGCCCAACCACCCTGGATCTGCAAACATTCCCACCCACCCTGGATCTGCAACCATGCCCAACCACCCTGGATCTGCAACCATGCCCAACCATCCTGATCTACAAACATTCCCACCCACCCTGGACAAACACGATCCCACCCACCCTGGATCTGCAAACATCCCCACCCACCCTGGATCTGCAAACATCCCCACCAACCCTGGATCTGCAAACATTCCCCCCGACCCTGGAACCTGCACACATCCCTCAACCGTGATCCATATCTGTCACCATTCCGTTACCCTGCATGTGAACACATCACCCACCCTGGATCTGCACACATCCATATCCTCCAGTGATATACATGTGGGTTTGTTGAACCAGTATATTATTAGAGTCACATTCACCTCCACTGGTACATACCTGGGTTGTCTTTATCAGCGTCTGAGTCAAGCTCGCTGCAGGCGATGCAGTAGTAGTTGCCCTGCTTGTCCTGCAGGAGGATCGTCTGGAAGGTGAAACAAGCATGATGAGGTATCACACAGACTGATGTACACATATAGAACATATCCTTAACTGCAACTGAGGCAGATACATTACGGGAAAAGACTGAATAACAACAATGAACTTTGGATGGGCTTGTCATTTATTATGGCTGACAGAGAGCATCAGAGGGAATCGGGAGTGTCATCAAATAATATGACAGTCTCTAGGATGGGTCATCAAATAATATGAAAGGGTCATCAAATAATATGACAGTCTCTAGGGTGGGTCATCAAATAATATGAAAGTGTCATCAAATAATATGAAAGCGTCATCAAATAATATGACAGTCTCTAGGGTGGGTTATCAAATAATATGAAAGTGTCATCAAATAATATGACAGTCTCTAAAAGGGTCATCAAATAATATGACAGTCTCTAGAAGGGTCATCAAATAATATGACAGTCTCTAGGATGGGTCATCAAATAATATGAAAATATCATCAAATAATATGAGTCTCTAGGGTGGGTCATCAAATATTATCTTACCTCACACATAAATGTCGCTTACTGATTGGCAGAGCGTTCTTCTATTATTTTCAATGTACCCTGCTTACAAGCGAGTAACATTACAATGTACCCCGCTGTCAATGGCAACTCATTTGGTACTTTCGTGGTAGTAATTCTTTATCTCGAATTACATTGACTCACATATGATGCACGAATTACCGATGCAAATCAATGGAAAGGAGATAACTCTAAATCTGTTTTTCTTGTCAGCAAAATCGAGCGATGGCTTCAAAAAGATTTGTACCTGTGCTTCAAACAATTCAAAACGAACATTACGGTGTTCGGTAAGATAAATACGTTGTTCACTGGTCCCTCGGGGCCCTTGGGTTCATGTACCCTCGATGTTTGTTTATGTTCCATATTATTTGATGACACTTTCATATTATTTGATGACCCACCCTAGAGACTGTCATATTATTTGATGACACTTTCATATTATAAGTTGTTTACTGGTCACAAGGGGGACATGGGTTGATGTATCCTCGATGTTTGTTTATGTTCCCTGAGAATTGGGAGGGCCCGAATCGGGAGGGTCAACAAATAATATGACAGTCTCTAGGGTGGGTCATCAAATAATATGAGAGTGTCATCAAATAATATGACAGTGTGTTGGGGAGGGCCATCAAATAATATGACAGTCTCTAGGGTGGGTCATCAAATAATATGAGAGTGGCATCAAATAATATGACAGTGTGTTGGGGAGGGCCATCAAATAATATGACAGTCTCTAGGGTGGGTCATCAAATAATATGAGAGTGTCATCAAATAATATGACAGTGTGTTGGGGAGGGCCATCAAATAATATGACAGTCTCTAGGGTGGGTCATCAAATAATATGAGAGTGTCATCAAATAATATGACAGTCTCTAGGGTGGGTCATCAAATAATATGAGAGTGTCAACAAATAATATGACAGTCTCTAGGGTGGGTCATCAAATATTATGAAAGTGTCATCAAATAATGTGACAGTCTCTAGAAGGGTCATCAAATAATGTGAGTCAATGTGGGACCGTCATCAACAAATACAGATATTTGGGGAGGGTCATGTTACAAATGAACATGTTATGTTACATCCCCACAGGTCCACACTTACACCTCCCCCAGCTCCACACTTACTCCACAGGAACACACAGTTCCGAGCATCTTGTAGCCCTTCAGGAGATAGTCCCCCATACGCTGACTGATCTTGTTGTCTCGCTCACGGCGAGCTCGAATGATCTTCATCTCAGCTTCAGAGGGTGGCTTCCATTCATAGTCACTGTCTTCATGAATGTCACCTAGAAGGCAAAAATCTCAATAACTATATCAGCTGCACATAACCAAGGGTCGATTTAATATTATAAGAAGTGTCGGAATTGACAATCAGTGAATATTGATTGATAAAGTTTCAAACTCTTTCTAACAGCTCAAACCTAACTTTAATTACCATACGTGAACAGGTTCATATTTGTACAGGAAACAAAGTATTTGACATTTTCAGAAATACAAGTAAGGTTTACCATAATCTGCCATTTTGTTCCCGATATGTTGACTGTACATTGATTGTAACTACTGCTTGTTGATGCACATGCTTGTATTGTATATACAGTACAATCAAAACCAGCATGGTGGGAAAATGGATCTCATTGAAAATCATCAAAACGGCGATGAATGTAAGTGAGTGAGTTAGTTTAGTTTTACCAGCGACCATATAATAGATTAGAATATATTATATGGTCTCTGGTTTACGTTCCTGGGAGACTGTCGGAAACAAAGACTGTGGAACTGAAACCCCCGCAATCATATTATTTCCATCAATTTGTAATTATTTAGATGAATATACACATATATCTTGTATTTTCTTGTACAATAATCACGGAAGATTGAGACTCCAAGCCTTGTAAAAATGATTTGTCCATTCGAATTTAAACAATTTTAGATGTTTGTAGCTTTTTCTGTGTTTTTTTCACACACTTAATGGTTATCGTTCCTCATTTCCTATTTTGATACATATCAGTTTAAAAGGACCAGAAACAGAGTCCATTTTTGACGGAAAGTTCCACAATGTTCGTGCCATGATTGACATCATATGTTATCAAGTGAGTGAGTGAGTTTAGTTTTACGCCGCACTCTGCAATATTCCAGCTATATGGCGGCGGTCTGTAAATAATCGAGTCTGGACCAGACAATCCAGTGATCAACAGCATGAGCATCGATCTGCGCAATTGGGAACCGATGACATGTGTCAACCAAGTCAGCGAGCTTGACCACCCGATCCCGTTAGTCGCCTCTTGTACGACAAGCATGGACTACTGAAGGTCCTTTCTAACCCGGGGCGGTGGGGTAGCCTAGTGGTTAAAGCGTTGGCTCGTCACGCCGAAGGCCCGGGTTCGATTCCCCACATGGGCACAATGTGTTAAGCCCATTTCTGGTGTCCCCCGCCGTGATATTGCTGGAATATTGCTAAAAGCGGCGTAAAACTAAACTCAGTCAGTCAGTTCTAACCCGGATTTTCTCGGGTCTGATGTGTGTAAGAAAAACAGTTTAAATTGTAAACAGTAAATGAACCTTATATAAAGTATGCATATATCGAGTTCTATTAAACAATAACTGTAAATACAACTTGATGTCAGGCACACCAGAAATGGGCTTCACATGTTGTACCCATATGACATTAGGAAAATGCCACACTGCATCAGAATCGGTCTGTCTTTAATTTCAACATTTGTAACCTAGTTTTCTTTCTTTGAACTACTTGAAATAATTTAGTCCAATTTTGAATAAATAAGTCATGAAAAAAGTGGACAATGGGAGGGTCATCCCAAAATATGACAAACATGCATGTGGAGTGGGGAGGAGAGGGTGTCGAGGGCCATTATTTATGATATGATGTAAAACAGAATCTGAGAAATTATTTTCGTTTACTTATTTCTTGAAAAGAATTAACTTCAATGCATGTTTTCGTTTTGGGGTACGATATAAATAGCGGCGTTCACATTTTTCGCAAATCCGTCCGTTTTGTCAAAATGCAAAATATTCCGGTTAGTCTAGTGCGGGTTTCCAAAGTTGTGACTGCATATATAAACCGCATACGGTAATGAAATATTGACCATTAATGTTAAAGAATTTTAATGTCTTTTCTACTGTAAAAGATACGAATTATACTTTTTCAAACAAAGGAACCAGGGTGTATAATATGAGTGCCTTAACAGACCTTCATGCCTATTTTTAATTGTCATTGCTGTAGGGGACTTTCCCCGGTACCGGAAGCGAAATTCTCATGCAATCACGCGGGAGTTGCAACGAATTGAAAATTTTTACTTGTTTCCCATACAAGATCTGTTGGTGTTTTTCTATCCGTTTATCGGATTTGGGGGCAACATGTTCACACCACGTTCAACCCGTGCTAGAGCATCTCCGTTCACTCCAGGATCCCAACGTGCCTCTCAAACCAAACGATCATCCGGTGTGTTTACACCACAGAGCCGTCGACTATCATCGCTAAGGTATCCGACATATTTACATTATTTTTAATGATACTCGATTGACTCTGTTGTGGTATCCTTGTATAATGTTTGAGACGAGAAGCATAGCAAATCTGTGAAAATAATGTTTGGAACTTGTTTTTTTCAAATTCATATATTCATCATTATATCATGCAGGTCCATCATGTTTATCGGTTTTCGCGCATGTAAGAATTGCCAACACTTAGCATGCTTAGTAACGCTGATGTTGCAGTCAGTCTTCATGTGCGGTTGTTTATCGTGTAATTACAGTCTGGTAATATCTATCAGTGCCATGGCCAAAAACATGATATGTCATAATACACAGTAATTTGAGTAAATAAACTTATCTGTCTAATGACATGTAATGTAATCATGGTAATGTGTTGTTATGTTTCAGAAGCCACACTCCATCAAAATCCAACCGATCCCTGCAGACATCTCAGATAGTTGATGATGTCAGCTCACAACACCGTGTTGAGAGTTTTGGGGTCCCTCTCCCTGTTCTGATCACAGAAGCTCTCACCCTAGCTGACAGTAAGTCCTGATAAAATGACAAGTGCTGTACAATGCTGAATGTTGACAATGATAACATGATTGTTTCCCTCAACATACAGATCATGCAGCCTCTAAGGATTCTTTAAGAATGCTAGTGACAAAGTCTATGTATTATGCTGATGCTGTTTGGGCATACTTGATATGTCACAAGAATTTGAAGAATTTTTTTCTAAAATACATTGTGATCATTTCTCCACACAGGTACAATGTGGGAGCCCATTTGTGATGTACCCCTTGTGATACTGCTAGAATATTGCGAAAAGTGGTGTAAAACCATTCTCACTGACTTACTTCATGATCTCCTTTTATGTCCAAATGATATGCTGTGATATAACTGACATTCTGATGGAAACAGTCCTGCCCAACTCATGCACTCTTTTGTTTCATGCAGGAAACACCGAGATCACTGTTAACATAGACCCATCTGGGTGGGCGTGGCTGGTTGGAGGTCGCAAACTGTTTGTGTGGAGATACAAGCCTCAGCCTGGAACTAGAGTGAGTGACAGCAAATTTCACAGACATTTGTACATTAGGGTGATTTTAGTTTGCATTTATTTCAGTAGTTAGGGTGACCTCTTATTTATCTGGCCTTTCAATTTCCATTCCTCTGTAGGAAATTAGAATGGACAGCCTCTGCGCATTTTATCCTTGTTTGTTATCGAAGTGTTGTGATAACACATAAAGACATAAATAGCATGGTACATTCATTGTGTTAATGTTTGTATTAACTTTTCAAAAACAAATGAGGGAAATCTTGAAATAGAGTGACAAAAGTGGATTTGAAAGTCATGCATAAAAGTATGGTGATTTCGTCTGGAAACTGACATCCTCATATGTTGCAAGGATTGGGAAAGGCAGGGGCAAAGGGCCATTTTGCTCATTAAAATATAAAATGACCCATTAAAATTTTGAAGTTTAGTATTGATACAAAGGTTTTGTCTCATTCTAAATTCAGAAAATGGCTAATAATCCTGAAAATGGCCCATTATCAAAGGTCTCTATCCTAATCCCTGTATGTTGCATTATGTAAGAAACATTTCATTCTAATAATCAGCATGATCAAGGAGCGCTATAATGCAACTTTTTCCGACTATTTTCCCCAATGTATATGTATCCTGTGGTGGTGAAAAACATCAAATGCTGGAGAAATGTGTTGGAATTAGTGGAGAAATGCATTTTCATGCTTTCAAGGGGGGCAACTATATGCTGCTTAATTCCATTGATCTATGAAGAGGAAGAAGCGGTGGTAAAATATATGACCATACCATACAGAGATTATTAAAGTAAAGCATCAGGTGAACCATGTGCACCGCATTAATGACATGAGTTGTTGTCTTCACTCGTAAACATGATGTATCATTAGACACTGAAAGTATGTTTAAGTCATTGTGAAAGGGGGAAAATTCAACTGGAGGATATTGGCACCTTGAACACTGTAAAGTGTTAAGAAGTCTTTCATATCCATATTGGGGAACTTAACAGGATGCTTTAATGTTTAATCACCCCTCACCATGTTCGCAACCGATCGAGTTGGTTCCATGGTGATTGAATTAATTAGGCCCAAGTACTTCACTTCATACCGCAGAGCACATACGTCTCGCGAACAAGAGACGGTTGGCCGTCTCGCGAACAAGAGACGGTAGGCCGTCTCGCGTACACGTTACGTCTTTGACTGATTGTTGTGTTCAGAATGGTCAGTGTTCAGTTGATGTGTTTTCAGGGTGTACTTTGTAAAGAACTGACCTTGCCACCAAGTGACCTTGCCCACAGTGCCGAGCGGGTGTGTGTGATCCCCAGCGACAACCAGCCTGCAGCATGTGTGGCTGTATCACCAGAGGGTGTGGTCCGGTACTGGCCCAACATCGCGTACGAGTCATCAACAGGCGAGGTCAGCGCTGAACTCAAGGGAGAAGAATGTGCATGTGTCATCAACTTCCAGGTAACACTTATGTGTTCATCTTGAGATAAAGGGGCAGTGGGGTAGCCTAGTGGTTAAACCGTTTGCTTGTCATGTCAAAGGCCTGGGTTCGATTCCTAATATAGGTAGAATGTGTCAAGCCTATTTCTGGTGTTCCCTGCTGTGATATATCTGGAATTTTACTAACAGCGGCGTGAAACCTGACTCACTTGCTCTTGTGGTGCATACTTACAAGGAGTTAGGACACTATTGTATCATATGTATACTGCAATACACTGTTAAGACCTGTATTGTGATATTTTGTCTGTGATCTGGTGTGAAGGGTAAAAGATATACAAGTGTTGTAATCATGGCTGCTGAACTTACATTCTCTGTTGCCAGGTTGTGTAGGTTGACTAAAAGCTTCATGAAGTGAAGTGAATTCTGTATATTTTTCCTTATCCTGACTCATGCTCTTTTGCTTGTCTTCTTCTTCTTGCGAACATAGTGGAACACTTGTATCTTCTTAATTGAAGCTCCCTTCAATGTAAAATCACTAATTGGTACTCACCAAGAGTTGCCTCCCTTGCCCTTTGCGCGGGAACAGGTGTCGCCACCCTCTGGCCTCATGCTTCACTCTCTCCTTCTTCGCCCAGTGAGCAGGATGTGAGAGCGCCTGTGTCTCCTTACACACTATATCCTTTGGTTTTTCTTAGTTAATTACCTCTTATAGGTTACTATAGAGGTATAGCTAGTATCCTTTATTAATTTGTATTGATAATTAATCGTATTTCTACTGTTTATTCACGTGAGTTAAGTGATTGTTCAGCTAGTATTACGTTGATGATGAAAATCTGTACTATTTGTAGATTACGTTTTCTGTTGGTGACCCGCATGTAATATGCCCTAGTTGTTCTAACGCCTTGTGCGTTTGATTCACGTTGCAGTTACTGCATTAATCTATCTAATTCGCTTTTAATAAATATCATCTTTGCGTCTTGAGGCGATACGCAGATAGGTCACGCAAACAAGGGTTAGACATGGCCGATACATCGGATTCCCCATCCAGTCAGCTGCTGTCGATCGACCCCCTACCGTCTGGTGTTCCGCTGGAGACCCCGCCGAGGAGGGCGTGGGATGCAGTCCACCGCCTCCAAGAAGCGCCCTGCCTCCCCAGGACGCCCCCGTCATCGCAGCCAAAGTCCAAGAGGGCCTCGGCGTCTTCTCAGCGCAGACTTTGTACCCCAGGGCAGCGCTCTACCTCCAAGGAAAGAATCACGAAGTCGTCAAGAACTTTCTCAGCCGAGATCGTTCCAGCCGCCCGAACTGGGCCTCTACGATGATCAGCCGATCATCATCCCTGACGTCGCCACAAGAAGCAGCCGGTGACAGCTACAGTGACATCAGCAGAGATCGCCATGCAGCCTGATGTTTCTACATTGATGTCAGACCACCTCCCTGAGGGCCCAGCCGCTAACATCGCGCAGAGAGGGCACCGACTGCCTTCGCCGCAGACCATCCCAGATGAGCTGTTGCGGCAGATCATGACCATGATGGAGGGCCACTACAGACGGGAGAAGCGGCCAGCCCAGGGCCTGAGCAACGCAGACAACACCCCAGAGGCACCCCCCCGTCAGCGTAGCAGCCACGACGAAGCCACCTTCGAGAAGGAAGTCGCAGACCACCTCGACTAAGGACCCAGATGTACAGCCTTCGCGATGGCGGGAGAGATCATCACCGTCCTCGGCCTCATCCTTAGATGCGGACTCAGACTACCAGACCTCACGGAAGCCGTCACGAAGGTCAAGTCGCCGTTCCCCAGGTCCGGACGCAGAGGAAGCTTCACGAAGGACACCTGACCCCAGATCGTCATCGTCCAGAAGGACATCGAGGGACTACTCAAGAGCTTCACCAAGACGATCTCCTCGCCGTTCACCACGCCGATCTCCTCGTACAACACCACGTCGATCACCTCGCAGGTCACCACACAAGTCTGCACACAGGTCTACAGTCAGGTCTCCCCAAGCGTCACCCGACATAGAGATAGCAGCACACAGTCCACCATCAGAAGAGCATCAACCTCTCATCACTGATGCTGGGACAGAAGATGATGGAGGCATCATTTTCTCAGACGCTGAGATACGATATTGGATGGTAAACAACCTAGATCTCTCTTCACCGTCCAAGAGTGGCAACTCGGCGCAGACATACCTGATGAAGGAAGGCGATGCAGGCGCCGTCACCCTACCTCCGATCGACCCGATTGCTGCGGTGCCACAGAATCTAGATACAGCCTTCCATAAAGCCCGCGAAAGTTCAGACACCACATCTGCCGAACTTTCACGCCAAGAAGTTCTCAACGCACAACATGGACCCCTTCCTCAAGGCACAAGACATCGATGACAACTACAAGCTGATCAGCGATGTCAAGAACAAGAACTACAAGATTGACGATCGTAAGCTGGTGCAGATAGAAACCATGGCCGAGACACATGTTTTTGGCCTAAATAGATCTAGAGCGATCAATGAGACACTTATCACCAGATTTCGTAATACGACCTCTGAAGATGATAGGATGATCTACTCGGCCCTACTGATGCAAAAGAAGGACCAGCAGTTCCTAACAGATATCTCACATCTGTCTCAGCAGCGCTGACCTTAGCTCGTCGTCAAGGCCTCCTTGCTTCCTGCAGCTGGGGTGAGAACTTTACAGCTCCACTCTATACAGCCCCGTGGTCTTCCCCATCCATCTTTGACGGAGGAATAGACAAAGTCTCCAAGGAAGTCACTAAGGATTCCAGAGAAGTCCTTATGATTAAGTCGATGGACACGCTAGCCAGGGTCATCAGGCAGACTTCACAAAGATACTCAGGGAGATCTAAATTCACTGGACTACAGAGAGCACGGATAGGAAGATAGCCAGCCAGGGAAAAGATTCTTTTAAGGTAAGCCCATATGGCAACTATAGAGGAGGGTCAGGAAGAGGCAGGACACCCAGAGGTTCCTGCAACTATAAACGCTGAAAGACAGGTTCGGAACGACTGGAGTCTTCCACCCCCAGCCGTTCCAGTACAACCGTCACAAGTGGGTGGATGCCTCCAACTACACTGGGAGAACTGGGGAATGTTACAAGACCCTTATGTCTCCAACATTCTTCAACACGGATTTCGTATCCCACTACAGGCCACGCCTCCGCTGACAGTCAACCCTCACAAGTTCGACTTACAGGCACAACAACTACCAAAGTTAAGAGAGGCTGTTACATCACTCCTAACCAAGCAGGCCATAGAAGTACTAGATCAAGTAAACATCGAACCAGGCTTCTACTCCCCAGTTTTCCTAGTACCCAAGAAAAACTCCAAGGAGAAATACAGACTCATTTACAACATGAGCTTTTCAACAGGAATTATCTCGCAAACCACCAAAGTTTCGCGATGATACATCTTCCTCAGTTACGGCAGTTGATTAAGCCCCATGGATTACATGGCCAGTATAGATCTGCAAGGCGCATATCTACACATCCCGATACATCCCGAATCCAGGAAATACCTACGATTTACACTAGACGGGCTACATTACCAATGGAAAGTACTCCCATTCGGAATATCATCAGCCCCCTGGCTATTCACGAGGATAACGAAACCTATTGTCACCTATCTACATCGTCTAGGGCTACGCAGTGCGTTCTACCTCGACGACGGGATACAAGTAGATCAAGATCCACAGCGTCTCAAACTACAGTTAAACTACATCATAAAGCTACTAACACAGCTAGGATGGTTAGTAAACTTACTCAAGTCGGACCTAGTACCATTGCAAGATCTGCAGTTCCTAGGCATTTGATTTATCACGACTCTCAACCGTATCGTCGTACCAGAAGACCGTTGGCTCAAGATCCAACAGACCATTCCGCCAGCTCTACTCTCTCCGTTACCACTACGACATTGGCAGAGCCTGTTGGGTCTCCTCACATCAGCCCAAGACATGACAGTCAGAGGCAGATTACAGTTACGTCCGTTACAGGTCTTCATCAATGCACATCTCGACGACCTACAACCATTCAGTCTACCGAAACATCTCAGACCTCATCTACTATGGTGGACCAGGAGGTCGAATGTCTGCGAAGGTATTTGTTTAGCAGAGCAGGAATTCAAAACCCATCTATATGTAGACGCGTCGCTCCAAGGTTGGGGAGCTCATCTCGCCAACCGGACGGCATCAGGTGGAATCAGCAAGAAAGCAAGCTCCATATAAACATGTTAGAGATGAAAGCTGTAATCAACGCCATACTTCATTGGAGCACCATTCTACAGAATGCGCACCTAATGATTCATACCGACAACTCGACAGTGGCGTTCTATGTGAACAAACAAGGCTCAACGAGATCACTGAACCTATTGACTTTAAGCTTTCAACTGTTCGATCTAATCCACGATCTCAACCTACATGTCAGAGCATGTCACATTCCCGGAGCCAAGAATGTACTAGCAGACGCACTCTTTCGGCCACATCAACCGTCACCGACAGAATGGATGCTCAATACAGAAATATTTGCACAGATAATCAAGCAAATAGGAGCGCCGCTAGTAGATCTATTCGCAACACGCTTCAACAATCAGCTACCGACATTCGTGTCACCAGTCCCAGACCCACAAGCATGGGCAACGGACGCTCTAAGCATATCCTGAGAAGGCCTCAATGCGTACGCGTTTCGGTCGCCGGCAATAATACATCAAGTGTTACAGAACACAGTGTTACACAGAGCCTCCAACTCACTTTGGTCGCGCCCTACTGGCCAGCCAGAACGTGGTTTCCCATTCTAATTCAAGAAATCGGTCAACCGACACTAGAGCTACCCAAGCGCTCAAATCTATTAGTACATCCACACACCAAACAGGTGCACAGAAGCCCAGAAGTATTCCAACTTCACGTATGGACTGTATTAAAATGTGTTTAAACAAGAGAGGATATTCTACCAGGGCGGCAAAAGCGGTCACGCTTGCCTTACGCAATTCTACACGTAACTTGTACGACGACAAGTGGCACAGTTTCGAAAATTACGCAGCAAACAAGGGATTTACAGCGAGAGATGCTACTCATCCACAAGTGGCAGATTATTTGTGTTACTTACGGCAAAACAAACATTTAAAAGGCTCGACATTGTCAACATATCTTGCCGCGCTTAGTTCTGTGATTACTATGAGAACGGGTGTCAAATTGACTAAAACTCCAGAGTTACTGGCCTTACTACGTGCTTTCCGATTGGAGGACCAAAAGCGGAAGTTCCACCCCAGCTTGGGATCTGAATATAGTGCTACAACACCTCACAAGTGAGGCTTATGAACCGTTGGAATCGACAACTTTTGAATTTCTCTCACAGAAAACGCTTTTCCTGTTATCTCTAGCCACGCGGCAGCCAGGATGTCAGAAATTCACGCACTAGATTATGAGAGGATACAGTTTGATGACAATCAAAACACAGCACACCTGGGATTAAGATGGGATTTCATCGCCAAAAATCAACTACCAAGTCAACCAGACAGGTTATTCCATATCCCTGCACTATCCTCGATTCTCGGATCTCAAGATACACTGGACTTATCTCTATGCCCAGTCAGAGCTCTCAAAATCTATTTACGACGTTCCAAAACAAGGCGAAGATTTCTCAAACGATTATTCATCCCCTTATCTGCAACAACTCAGACAGAAGTCTCTCGTACCACCATATCTATATGGATAAGAACTGTCATGCCGGCTACTACAAGGCAGCAGGCCTGGACCCTCCAACAGCATCAAATCCCATGAGATCAGGGCATTGGCTTCCCCTCTCGCCCTATACGGTAACTGTTCACTGAATACAATTATGGAAGGATGCTTTTGGAAATCTAACATGGTGTTTGCTAATCACTATCTGAGAGATATCACCACCGAGGGCGTCTCAGGTATTCACCATTTCGGTCCCTTGGTCCTCGCGACAGCAGTTGACAGTCCCTCGTAGCGTTAACAGATAGTCTTACGAGATTAATATGCATTGATACATGCATTATCTAGCTTATAACTCTACGGAGTTCTAGGGCTATGTATATACTTAGCTTAGGTCTACTCACCCTTAAGCTTTTACTGATGATTATGTTCAGTTGTATAGCTTCTCTATCAGAGTCGCTTTTATATCTTATTGATAATATCATAGTATATTATTATTGTAATACCCCAGTATGGCAATATATAAACCTATGGCTTATAATAGAGGAAATATCCTAAGTCTATGCCTTTATGAAGTTCCCGTTAGTGGGTTATTACAGTTATATCTATATAAATCACTAATTTTATAAATCCAAAGTATTCTGTTTTTTCCCACCTCCGTTTCCGTAGGATTCTACAAGCAAAAGAGCATGAGTCAGGATAAGGAAAAATATGTAATTTTTAGAGTAAAATTGATATTTTATACTTATCCTGACTCATGAGGTAAGCCCTCCCATCCTCCCCACATAACACTTTGGATTTCCCTGTAAATTCAAGTGTTGGGCTCGCAAAATCAGGAGAGAGTGAAGTATGAGGCCAGAGGGTGGCGACACCTGTTCCCGCGCAAAGGGCAAGGGAGGCAACTCTTGGTGAGTACCAATTAGTGATTTTACATTGAAGGGAGCTTCAATTAAGGAGATACAAGTGTTCCACTATGTTCGCAAGAAGAAGACAAGCAAAAGAGCATGAGTCAGGATAAGTGTAAAATATCAATTTTACTCTAAAAATTACATATCTTACCTTTTTTACTTATTCATCTGTATCTCGTCACGATATGGCTGAAATATTGCCGATGGGACGTTAAATATTAAGTCACTCACTCACTATTCATCTGTAGAACTTATCAATTACACCAATTACATTTTCTTTTCTTTCAGTTTCTTTTAGCCAATGTACAATGCCTATATCATCTTTAAATTGATAGACCCGTGAAGATCCGGGGTAGAATAGGTCTTCAGCAACCCATGTGCTTATCTTTCGTGAAGAGGCTTAATTAACGGGATCGGGTGGTCAGTTTTCGCTGACTTGGTTGCCACATGTACAATGCAGATCGATGCTCATGCTGTTGATCACTGGATTGTCTGGTCCAGACTCGATTATTTACAGACCGCCGCCATATAGCTGGAATATTGCTGAGTGCCGCGTAAAACTAAACTCACTCACTCACTCACTTTAAATTGATATCTAAATATCCATGGAAAATAACATCAGTTTTCCATGTGTCTATTGAAAGTTTACAACTGGAATAATTGTGTCTTCAGATTTAAGCCAATTCTCTTTCTTGAATGTGTGTGTCTCTCTTCTCCTACTTGATTTTTTTCATTGAATTTTTTAAACTGCAATCTCTGTCCACCTCGAAGAAGACTGAGATAAATCCCCCATTGTTCAGCATGTATTCACAATGTCTTTTGTTCCTAACAGCCATTCGGATGTCTCCTGGCCACCACTACCAGTTCCCTCATACTGCTGACTACCAACCCGGGACAGGTATGTATAGCCACAGACGACCAGGCACGCAGGCAGATGCACGACACAGTGTTCCCAAACAAGACATATGAAGGAAATGATCATACCACACACCAGCTTCAGAAGCATCACACCAGCTGGCAGTCAATAGGATCAAATACACTGATGTCTTGGACACTTTTAGAAAACATACGCCTCCTACAATAATTTTTAAGAAATTTTGAAAAAAATCTAAAAGGATTTCTAGTGCTTTTGTTTGAATTTCATTTGCATGGAAGATGTTTCCCTTGCAGAACACCATCATGTGCCAGCCCCTGAAGGCCGCCCAGGGCATGTTTGCTGGCATTGGTCGCAGGATGTCGTCTTTCATATTTGGAGCTTCACCCATGCAGACAATGGGTGCTGTAAGTATTCAAATAGCATAGGTCATTCCTTCTACTGACAAGAGGAACTAGCTGACTTGGCGTGTTTGTCGTTGGAAACAACTCAGCGTTCAGAATTAAGCATGATTGTTGAATTAGCCCGGCGTCAACTAATCATGTGTCGCCTTATTTCAGTGCTCGAAACTGCTCAAGTTGGATTAAAAATTACGTTCTCGATGTGTGGAAACAATTGCAAAAGATATTCAAATATTGAATCGAAATAGTGATAATGGTTATCGAAAATCAAAACTAGGATGTCAGATTCAATTTTTAATGAATGGAACCGTTGCAGCCATGGTACAGATAATAAGATGATGTCTCCAGCTGGTGTTAGAGTCTATACAAGTGTTTACTTCTTCACAGCCTTTCCAAGCTATTGTGCCAGGAGAGGAGGATGAGGAGGAGATGAGTCGACCATTCTTTGTCTTGTCAGGAACACATGTACAGAAGTGGGAGATCTCCAACTCAGGCCCCGAGAAGGTTGGTATAGGGCATCTCTCGGCTCTTGTTATGTCATAGATTGCTTCATCACAGTAACACCACCCCTGGAGATCCGGGTTAGAATCGGTCTTCAGCAACCCATTCTTGTCGTAAAAGGCCACTAGTTGGTTGGTTGACACAAGTCATCACATCCCAATTGTGTAGATTGATGCTCATACTTCTGATCACTGGATTGTCTGGTTCAGACTCGATTATTTACAGACCGCTCCGTATATTACTGAGTGCGACGTTAAACAACAAAACAAAACTTACCACTTCTGATCTGGAGAGTGCTTCTTGGGCTGACTCTTCCAGAATGCTGAAACAAAGAACAATGAAAACATCACAAAAGAACAAAGGGAGGCAGATGCGCTATCACTGACTCAAAAGCGCTTCTGGAAAACTCACGCAGTAACTCACTCACTGTAAAGGCAAGATGCATATAAAGATGACATGGTGTAGTTTCATTGTATTTCTTTTCCTTGTGCAGCTTCTGTATCAAGTGGATGTGGACAGACTGTTCAGAGAAGCACTGGCACGCAAAACCTGGGTGAGTAGACACTTCAGATAAGCACTGGCACGCAAAACCTGGGTGAGCAGACACTTCAGAGAAGCACTGGGACAAACCTAAATGAAGTAGGCATTGTTCAGAGAAGCACTGGGACAAACCTAAGTGAAGTAGGCATTGTTCAGAGGAGCACTGGTACAAACCTAAGTGAAGTAGGCATTGTTCAGAGAAGCACTGGGACAAACCTAAGTGAAGTAGGCATTGTTCAGAGGAGCACTGGTACAAACCTAAGTGAAGTAGGCATTGTTCAAAGGAGCACGGGTACAACCCTAAGTGAAGTAGGCATTGTTCAGAGGAGCACTGGTACAAACCTAAGTGAAGTAGGCATTGTTCAGAGAAGCACTGGTACAAACCTAAGTGAAGTAGGCATTGTTCAGAGGAGCACTGGTACAAACCTAAGTGAAGTAGGCATTGTTCACCTAAGTGGAGCACTGGTACAAACCTAAGTGAAGTAGGCATTGTTCACAGGAGCACTGGTACAAACCTAAGTGAAGTAGGCATTGTTCACAGGAGCACTGGTACAAACCTAAGTGAAGTAGGCATTGTTCACAGGAGAACTGGTACAAACCTAAGTGAAGTAGGCATTGTTCACAGGAGCACTGGGACAAACCTAAGTGAAGTAGGCATTGTTCAGAGAAGCACTGGGACAAACCTAAGTGAAGTAAGCATTGTTCAGAGGAGCACTGGTACAAACCTAAGTGAAGTAGGCATTGTTCAGAGGAGCACTGGTACAAACCTAAGTGAAGTAGGCATTGTTCACAGGAGCACTGGTACAAACCTAAGTGAAGTAAGCATTGTTCAGAGGAACACTGGTACAAACCTTAGTGAAGTAGGCATTGTTCAGAGGAGCACTGGTACAAACCTAAGTGAAGTAAGCATTGTTCAGAGAAGCACTGGTACAAACCTTAGTGAAGTAGGCATTGTTCAGAGGAGCACTGGTACAAACCTAAGTGGAAGTAGGCATTGTTCAGAGGAGCACTGGTACAAACCTCAGAGAAAGTGAAGTAAGCATTGTTCAGAGGAGCACTGGTACAAACCTAAGTGAAGTAGGCATTGTTCAGAGGAACACTGGTACAAACCTAAGTGAAGTAAGCATTGTTCAGAGGAGCACTGGTACAAACCTAAGTGAAGTAGGCATTGTTCAGAGAAGCACTGGTACAAACCTAAGTGAAGTAAGCATTGTTCAGAGAAGCACTGGTACAAACCTAAGTGAAGTAGGTACTGTTCAGAGGAGCTCTGGCACACAAAACCTGGATGAGTAGGCATTATTCAGAGAGATTCTTGAGGCACAGATGAGGCACAGATTAGTTTAAACAAATGAATTTCTAAGGCTGCATAACCCATTTCCTGTGAGCTGCCTGTGTTGTAGATGTAGTGACGCCCTTCATATTTGTTCCAGGACCTGGACTCGTGACAGATGCCCCAACTCCGATCCTGGCTCATAGACATGAAAACCACAGCATTGAGTAGTCGCAGAGTTTACAATGTACATCCAGTACATGCTGTCCAGTACACTTGTAAACAGCACCCTACTGCAGTACACCTTAAACCTGTTATCCAAGATGGTAATTCAGGAAAATATCTATGGAAAGATCTATCTTCTGAACACTTTGCATTTCAACAGATTTTTTGTAGGATAGTAGGTATTAGACAGTCTGTGACTGGTCATATTGTCCATCTACATCTCCATGTTTTGCTGACCTGTTGTCTGTTTCAGTGATGGCGTGATGATGCTGGGTGCAGGGGTCAACCTTGAGACAGACAGTGTTGTCCATTATGCCCTTGGTGAGTCTACTGTATCACCTGTACTAATGAATTTAAGGATGTCCCAGTGATGCTATCATTAATGTGTCCAACAATTTCTCTGGTTGATGCTGGTAAGCCTCTCTCTGAGATGTATGCTACTCGAAAGATTAGAAAGAACACCTGATTCTTTAACATGACTGTAGTTAGTCTATCATCTCTGGTAGTATTGTAACATAATCGTCAGTGTTCTTTAACATGACTGTAGTTAGTCTATCATCTCTGGTAGTATTGTAACATAATCGTCAGTGTTCTTTAACATGACTGTAGTTAGTCTGTCATATCTGGTAGTATTGTAACATAATCGTCAGTGTTCTTTAACATGACTGTAGTTAGTCTATCATCTCTGGTAGTATTGTAACATAATTGTCAGTGTTCTTTAACATGACTGTAGTTAGTCTATCACCTCTGGTAGTATTGTAACATAATCGTCAGTGTTCTTTAACATGACTGTAGTTAGTCTATCATCTCTGGTAGTATTGTAACATAATCGTCAGTGTTCTTTAACATGACTGTAGTTAGTCTATCATCTCTGGTAGTATTGTAACATAATCGTCAGTGTTCTTTAACATGACTGTAGTTAGTCTATCATCTCTGGTAGTATTGTAACATAATTGTCAGTGTTCTTTAACATGACTGTAGTTAGTCTATCATCTCTGGTAGTATTGTAACATAATCGCCAGTGTTCATTTAACATGACTGTAGTTAGTCTATCATCTCTGGTAGTATTGTAACATAATCGTCAGTGTTCTTTAACATGACTGTAGTTAGTCTATCACCTCTGGTAGTATTGTAACATAATCGTCAGTGTTCTTTAACATGACTGTAGTTAGTCTATCACCTCTGGTAGTATTGTAACATAATTGTCAGTGTTCTTTAACATGACTGTAGTTAGTCTATCATCTCTGGTAGTATTGTAACATAATCGTCAGTGTTCTTTAACATGACTGTAGTTAGTCTATCATCTCTGGTAGTATTGTAACATAATCGTCAGTGTTCTTTAACATGACTGTAGTTAGTCTATCATCTCTGGTAGTATTGTAACATAATCGTCAGTGTTCTTTAACATGACTGTAGTTAGTCTATCATCTCTGGTAGTATTGTAACATAATCGTCAGTGTTCTTTAACATGACTGTAGTTAGTCTATCATCTCTGGTAGTATTGTAACATAATCGTCAGTGTTCTTTCACATGACTGTAGTTAGTCTATCATCTCTGGTAGTATTGTAACATAATTGTCAGTGTTCTTTAACATGACTGTAGTTAGTCTGTCATATCTGGTAGTATTGTAACATAATTGTCAGTGTTCTTTAACATGACTGTAGTTAGTCTATCATCTCTGGTAGTATTGTAACATAATCGTCAGTGTTCTTTAACATGACTGTAGTTAGTCTATCATCTCTGGTAGTATTGTAACATAATCGTCAGTGTTCTTTAACATGACTGTAGTTAGTCTATCATCTCTGGTAGTATTGTAACATAATCGTCAGTGTTCTTTAACATGACTGTAGTTAGTCTATCATCTCTGGTAGTATTGTAACATAATCGTCAGTGTTCTTTAACATGACTGTAGTTAGTCTATCATCTCTGGTAGTAGTGTAACAAAATTGTCAGTGTTCTTTAACATGACTGTAGTTAGTCTATCATCTCTGGTAGTATTGTAACGTAATTGTCAGTGTTCTTTAACATGACTGCAGTTGGTCTGTCATATCTGGTAGTATTGTAACATAATTGTCTGTGTTCTTTAACATGACTGTAGTTAGTCTATCATCTCTGGTAGTATAGTAACATAATTGTCAGTGTTCTTTAACATGACTGTAGTTAGTCTGTCATATCTGGTAGTATTGTAACATAATTGTCAGTGTTCTTTAACCCAATTGGAGTAGTATATGTGAACATGAGTGAGTGAGTGAGTTTAATTTTACGCCACACTCAGCAATATTCCAGCTATATGGCGGTGGTCTGTAAATAATCGAGTCTGGACCAGACAATCCAGTGATCAACAGCATGAGCATCAATCTACACAATTGGGAACCGATGATATGTGTCAAGCAGGTCAATGAGCCTGATCACCCGATCCCGTTAGTCGCCTCTTACGACAAGCATGGGTTACTGAAGATCAATTCTAACCCGGATCTTCACGGATTGTGAATGTGAGGTACTCTGTGGCATCACTGCATCTACTTCTTGTGCCTAAAGTTAAACTTAGTAGCAATCTGTCTCTTATCATCCTTGTGCAGCATCAGTGGAATATTAATGTTATAACCAACCTTCCTGTATGTTTCAGCAACGCTGTCAACAGAAGACGAGCTTCCCCCGACAGCACTAGATGACTTCACATCACTTGAACACACTGAGAAATATGAGGTAGGGTCTTCAATGCCTTGGTTTAAATTATGCCAGAATTGAGTGGATATTCTGCTTTTAGCTCACCTGACTGAAAGCCAAATGAAGCTAAATTATTAAGGAGAATTGAGATATGATTCACTCATTTAACGTATACACTGAAAGTTCTCTCAGCTTTCACCTGAAACAACCCTTATGTAGAAATGTTTGGAGAGGTCTCAGAGTAGCAGACGTGAGTTTAAAGAGCTTGATCTGTATATTTTGTAAGAGTATGCTAAGATGGGTCTGCACGACCTCCAACAGAGGATTGTCAGATGTCTCAGAATAGCAGACGTGAGTTTAAAGAGCATGCCTGGTATCTATTGTAATAGGATACTAAGATGGGCCTATGTGAACTCCCAACAGAGGATTTAGCTGATATTTCAGAGTAGCAGATGTGGATTAAGTGAACTTGCCCTGTGTCTTTTATAGGAGGACACAGAAATGGATCTGCTCGACCTCCACCTACTTGTTCCGGACTCTACAGCCTATGTGTATGACAAGAGGGTCATCTTTGCCAAACAAGGTATGCTTGTATTAATATCTGGAGGTCAATGTCTTGTCACTACCAAGAGTATCATGATAATTCATCATGTGATATTGCCTAGTCCCACTACACTACTAGAGCAGTAAGACATTATTCTTATGTGGGCCAACACGGCAACGCTGCGGTACTCATGTTCTGGGGAATTAGGAGATTAACATGCTGTGTCAGCAATCTGGATAATTATACTGTTCTTTCACTGGAGTTAAACAAACTGTGTTTTCAATGTAGAGCAAAGTTAACTAGATTTAACCAAGCTAAGTTGATCTAGAAACCAAACAAAAGTTCTTTCCTATAAACTATAAGCTTACAAGGTTATACAGGTGTCAAATCAGCATTTTCAATCAGAGGTTGTTATCCTGATTTGAAACCTCTGATTGACAAGTAAGGGTCATGTATTTTCCAATTTCATGGGAGAAAAATTCAATAAATGTTTTCAAAATTAAAAATGATATCCTCTGAGATGTTACCTCAAATACCTGCCCAGATTTGCCGTGTTTACTCTGTGTTACCTGAGCTTGTGTTTTCAGGGGAGTCTGTGAGTGACAAGCTGGAACTGCAGTCTTCTGGAGATCAGATTCTGGGAGCAGGTAAGGGGATCTCTTTCACTGCTTTGACATGTGAACATCTGGTTTGGAACTGGTACTCAGCAAACAATGCTTGCTGTGAGATTTCAGTAATGGTGGTCAGACCCTCTGACTGGGTTGCCATGTTATCGTATCCTAATTGTTCAGGTCGATGCGACCCGTGAAGGTCCGGGTTAGAATTTTGGCCTTCAGTAACCCATGCTTGTCGTAAGAGACGACAAACGGGATTGGGTGGTCAGGCTTGCGGACTTGCTTGACACATGTCATTGGTTCCCAATTGCACAGATCGATGCTCATGCTGTTGATCACTGGATTGTCTGGTACAGACTCAATTATTTACAGACCGCTGCCATATAGCTGGAATATTGCTGAGTGTGGCGTAAAACTAAACTCACTCACTCACTCAGGTCGATGCTCATGGTGTCAGTCACCATCATATAGCTGGAATATTGCTTATGAGTAGACATTTATTTAAAATTATTTAAATGATTTTGCTCCCTTAAGCTCACAACACTGACATGTCTTCCATGCAGTAGTGCTTTCTGCATCCCTTCAAACAGTGAAACAAAGGTATTCAGGTACACACTGGGTAAAAACACACTGTGATGTCAAAGTATTAGCTTATTAGTTTTCCCATGAGTATTTGTATGCAAGATTAAAATTGATAGGGTTATGGCGATTTAGTATATTTTACATAACTTATCTTGTGCTGTGGTTATTGTAGTTGTACCTTACATTGGACACATTCCAGCATCCCTTGTAAATGTAATGATAACAGGTCTGTTTGAGAGTTGTGATTAAATGTTTGCTTGCTTATCTCCCTTGGTCCAGGTCGCTGTGGTGAGACGGCAGTGTTCTTCTCAAGCACCCATGGCCTCTTCTGTCTATCTTCGGCTGCCAAGCTGGAACAAAGGTAATGAGAGTGAGTGAGTGAGCTGGTCTAATGTCTCCGTTTTATCAATAGGATGGATGAACGCAACAAAGTGGCTCAATGTTCGTGTATATAGCCACTGACATCTTGTGCTGCCGTTGTGTGTTGTTCAGAACAAAGTTGATCGATGTTCACATATACAGTCACTGACATCTCTGAATATGATGGAAGTATATTTTACACTTAATAATGTCCACAATTACCTTATCGACAGTTTTGACTTTTTTTAACATTACCAATTACATCTTGATCTTAAGAAGGTGAAGAAATATACTCATAGAAACAAATAAGGGAACACATGAAAGTACAAGTGTTCCTTTACTCTTTTCCAGGTTTCTTCACAAGGTATGTATTGCACTGTGGGTAAAATTCTGGAAATAAATAAAGGAACACTTGTACTTTCATATGCTCCCTTATTTGTTTCCATGAGGATATTACCCACAATGCTCAATAGTAGTAACCTATAATGTGAGAACAACAGTATGTATTAGTTGATGGAGAATTTCCAGAAGGGCTTTTGAGTCACAGATGGCGCATCTGCCTCCCTTTTCTCGTTTGTGATGTATTCATTGTTCTTTGTTTCAGCATTCTGGAAGAGTCAGCCCAAGAAGCACTCTCCAGATCGGAAGTGGTAAGTTTTGTTTTGTTGCTTAATACCTCACTCAGAAATATTCCAGTTGTATGATTGTGGCTTGTAAAGAATCAAGTCTGGACCAGTCAATTGAGTGATTGACATCATGCAACTCAGTGGGAACTGATGACATGTGGCAACCAAGTCAGTCAACCTGACCACCTGATCTTGGTAATTCCTTCCTATGAACGGTTGCTGAAGACCAATTCTCACCCAGATCTTCAAGTACTGTGAGAAGACATTGAGATATAAATGACGGAAACAAATTAGATTGATACTCTCCTGGATATTTTAGTCATCTATAGATGCTTTGTTTCACTGGAGCATGAGCTTGCTAGATCTTTATTATTCCACTTTTTGGCAAGAAATTAGGCTCTTTCAAAACAGGTTAAAGTTGATTTGAATCATTGTTTTTATTTTCCACTGATGGTGTTTTCAGTCCACGTTAGCCACCAGCCGACCACAGGTTGCTGAGATGGGAGCCAGTGATGACAAGTCCGCCCGACTCAAGGCAGCATTTATCAACTCTCTCAATGGCAATTTGGTAAGCCTTTTCAACCGTTGAATCCTTCATACAGTAATGGTTGATTATTTCTCTCTACCTACTCTCACTGTGCCTTTCTGACATTCCTCTCCCTGTGTCAGCCTGAAGCTCAGAAGATCGTCAGTGACCTGTTCCCATTGACAGACATGGAGGATGAGGTGACGACCGAGATGGACAAGTTGGTGACGATGCTGAGTCGCGACCTCATCGACGACTACCCAACATCAGATCCCCGGTGGGCGGAGAGCTTGAGAAATGGTGAGCTGAAGTTGCATCATGTCACACTTTCTCCGCTCATGTCCAAGAAGCTCAAAAACTCCTCAGTGTAAGATAGACCAGAGTTTAAGTTCCAGTGAGTGTTGGTTTATGTTTGTTTGTTGTTTAACACCGCACTCAGCAATATTCCAGCTATATACCAGTGGCCTGTAAATAATCGAATCTGGGCCAGACAAATCCAGTGATCAACAGCATGAGCATCGATCTACGCAATTGCGATATGATGACATGTGTCAACCAAGTCAGCGAGCCTGACCACCCGATGCTGTTAGTCGCCTCTTACGACAAGCATGGGTTGCTGAACACCAATTCTAGCCCGGATCTTCACTGGTGAATGTGTTGGTTGTACAAACTGATTTAAGGCATCTGATGGTCAGACTCGGTGACTTTGTTAATAATGGGTGAACACAATGTTGCATATCTCTGTTCTCAATACCAGTCTCGATATTGTCAGGTCGTGACCTGACTATGTACACTCTGCCTCATATAGCTTGGATACCAGTCTCGATATTGTCAGGTCGTGACCTCAGTATCTACACGCTGCCTCATATAGCTTGGATACCAGTCTCGATATTGTCAGGTCCTGACCTGAGTATCTACACGCTGCCTCATATAGCTTGGATACCAGTCTTGATATTGTCAGGTCCTGACCTGAGTATCTACACGCTGCCTCATATAGCTTGGATACCAGTCTCGATATTGTCAGGTCCTGACCTGAGTATCTACACGCTGCCTCATTTAGCTTGGATACCAGTCTCTATATTGTCAGGTCCTGACCTGAGTATCTACACGCTGCCTCATATAGCTTGGATACCAGTCTCGATATTGTCAGGTCCTGACCTGAGTATCTACACGCTGCCTCATATAGCTTGGATACCAGTCTCGATATTGTCAGGTCCTGACCTGAGTATCTACACGCTGCCTCATCTAGCTTGGATACCAGTCTCGATATTGTCAGGTCCTGACCTGAGTATCTACACGCTGCCTCATATAGCTTGGATACTGCTGAGTGTGGACTTTAACAACAAACATAAACAACATTGAACTGATTTTCATTTTCTGTATGTGAAGTAATTTTTCACGCTTGGTTTCCATGTTCCTGTACGCTGGTTTTCACAGACTCTGCTGGCAGCACAACGTCCCTGATCATCTTGCAGCAGCTGAAGGACAAGGAGAAGGCTCACGAATACCTCATCAGCTTCCTGAAACGCCTGGAACTATGGGACAGGGTGAGTCGGGGGACACGTTCAGTCAAGTCTGGAATCATTTCTGACCAATTTCGTATGAGAATAATCATAATTATGTCACTGAGTGCAGGGTGACCAGCGGGTTGATGGGGACAAAATCATCAAAAGCATGGCAGTTGGTTGTTCTGAGTTGTCAACTCACAGATTCTCCTAATCATTTGACAGCACCATACTTTCACTTGTGGTATATGTCTTAGACATGAAGAACTATATGGATTTATTCCCACATGAATCTGATGGGGTCACCAGCACAGTAACTACGGATATGTAGCCTGTAAGTAGACATGTAGCCTAAACAAAGTCAGAATACTGAAACGTACCCTAAATTGCAGACAAGTCTCTATTCTTCAACCTTAAACCATAACCAGTTCATGCTGAGGTTCCCGTTGGCCTGACCATGAGTGCATACTTGGTTATGCTGTGCATTGCTAAATATTTAATTAATGTACTTATGGCAGTGTGTATGCTTCTCTCTTGTATAACACGACCGCCTCCGTGGTGTAGTAGTTAGAGCGTCTGCCTGGAGAGCGGAAGGTCGCGGGTTCGATCCCCGGCCGCGTCATACCAAAACACGTTAAAATATGGTACTTGTTGGTCCCTGCCTGGCGCTCGGCATTAATGGGTACAACAAGGACTGGTCGGCTCGGAGTCAGTATAATGTGTCTGAGTGGGGTATTCATGCTTCACTGCAGCATGGTATCTCAGTGGGCTAGCACTATAAAACCAGCTTAAGTCTGGGCTAGTACAAGCAGCCGCACATACACACGCATGCATGCACGTGGTCATATGAGCGAAATATTCTCAAGCACGACGTTAAACCCAATTTCACCTCACCACCTCTTGTATAACACAGTCATATGCATCTCAAACAACAGCTCTCCGTGCAATGTGGATTAATCTCCTAGGATACTTTTCTGTATTCTGATTTGGGCTAGGGTAGGTTTCTGTGTACTGAAATGTACCTGGGGTACATACCAGTCGTACCTGTGCTGACAGTGCCCCCCTTCAGCCTTGATATACTGCAATAGTGTTCCATGTGGTGTAACAAGAGCTGATTCTTCACATCCCCACTGTCTTTACTTCATAGTCTTTTGAAATGTGTTCCTCGAAGTTTTATTTCCGATTTAATGAATCGTTTTGTCTGCTGTATCAGTTGAAGGCGGTGTCTGTTCGAGACACGCTGATGTCCACCCAACTGTTGCTGTGTGAACATGCTGAGAAGGTTGCAGCTGCTGTCGGGCTGAGGGAGCTGCACAGCGAGTATGTACAGCTCATGCATTGTATTAGTACTTGATACAGAGGCCTAGTCTGAAGTCATACAACATCGTGGGGTTGCCTCGTGATTAAAGCATTCGCTCATCTTGACAAAGGCCCGTGTTCGATTCCCTGCATGGGTTCACTGTGTCCCTCGTCAAGATATTGCTGGAATATTGCTAAAGGCAATGTATTGCTAAACTCACTCACTCATACCACATTATGTTATAAGTTCAATAATCTTTAATGCTGCCCCAAACCCCTATTTATATGCATTTTGGAATGGAGAGATTATATATATAAAGTTTGTGAGTTGGGTTTTATGCAATTTTTAGCAATGTTCCACTTAACTTTGTACTGATTGCGATTATGACATTACAGTGAAACCTGTCTAAACCGGCACTCCACGGGACCGAAATAAAAAGCCGGTTTAGAAAGGGTGCCGGATTAGACAGTGACGATCATTTTCCAACATTGCTGCCATTTACACTCGTCAGTCTCTCAATCTAGTGTCCGAGAGGAGTGTATTGGATTAAGGTACCTTGATTGGACTGCTCATACCCATGCCGGCTTAGAGCGTTTGATTCACCATGCAATCACTACTTCCTGATTATATAGCGTGCCAAGAGGATTAATTAGTGTATTGGATTATGGGTCCTTGATTAGACTGCTCATACCCATGCCGGTTTAAACAATGTTATTCTTTTTCAGAGAGATCGTCCTTGGGGTACATATTATGCATTTTCCGGCTGAAAAATGTCCTGTGACAGTTGTATCAATGTTTTTTGAATAAAAAGATTGAACAATAAATAAACTCTTTTATTTATTATACGGCCCCTACCTCGCGGAGTTACCTCCCTTAGCGCATGCGCACCAACTGGGTAGGCTCCTAGACCCGTATCATCATTCCTTCTGCTGTCACTGCCGTGAACAGACGTGTTTATAATAGAACGCGACTTCATGAGCCGGACAGCTGAAAGCTAATAAGAAAGCTATGTCTGAGACACCACCTGTATGTATGGTCTTTATTTGCCTAAAACAAGGAACAGTAAAGCTTTACAGTTGGTTGTTTCATAATTGTGACTTTGTATTAATACAAAATACGCCGAACTTTCCCCGTGGTTTACGCACGTGTTGCTCTGCCATGGCGGGAAGTTTAGCGTGCCATGTGGTCGTAATATTGCGTATTAAAACCAACTATTACTTTCCGTGGTAACCTTCACGTATTTTTCAATGTTTTCTACGTGTTTATATGCTGCTGGCCGCTGTTAGCTACATGCTTGCGTGTTTGCTTTCAGGCCTTTTCATCCTGTTCGGTCTGTGGACAGAGAGAAATTCCACGGGCCGACAGGCATGAGCTATTTGTTGCCTGTCTTGAGAAGACGGGCCACGACGCTGAGTCCTGCCCTATTTGTCTGGCCTTTTCCCCCCGGGCCCAGAAGAGGCGGGCGGCCGATACGTTGTTTTATCGTGAGATGCGTGAGGCGGGGGGACCTGGACGCAGGTCCCCCGCCTAAAACAAAAGCGTGACAAAAAAAAGGAAAAAAAATCCCGGAGGCCCTTCCCCTCTCCTACCACTTCGAAAGTGGTTTTGACATGTCGGTAATGGACTCTATGTTTCAGCAGCATATGGACTCCGCGGAAGTCCTTCGCTCGAGTCGGTTGGAGGTCTCCCGCAGGGAGTTCCTCGCCCACTCCGGACGGGGCGGAGAGTCCGGGTGGGATCGCGGGCTCGCTCGATCCCTCAGCCTTGAGGCGCTCTGTAGATCCGCTGCCTCTGGCTTCGGATCCGGACGCCTCGGCTGCTCGGAGAGGGAGGTGCTCCCAGTCCCCTCTCGGAGTTAGCGCAGGGACCGCTGAGTATTCCTGGTATTCCGTCCTGCGCACACCCGCCCCTTTGAGAGCGGAGGCACCAGTTCTGCCTGGCCTGCCTCCAGCGCCTCGGGACCGGGTCCACGACGCCGGGCTGGCTGACGGGAGCCGCCTGTCTGTTCTTCCCTTCCTGTGGTTCCTAGCTTAGGCAGTCCACCGGGTCGGGTTCGGGTCCCTCTTACGGAGGAGACCCAGCCTCTGACTCCTCGCTCGGCGCCGAGGCAATGGAGCTTGGGGAGGTTGAGGAGCATGACGGAGGCTTCCGCTTTGCTTCGGCCTTGGCGGGAGGTCCGCAGAGAATTGCCGAGGGCCTACCCCAGGTCAGCGGTGCCTGCTGGTTGGCGCGGACTCTCGACTGAGTTCCGCTTGCCAGGCAGGCGCTTGCCCCTAGGCAACCCTCGCAGACGCAGCCCGCGATTCTGCCTTCGCTGGTCTCGGACGTGGTCGATCCCTCTTCTGTCTGGTGCCCGAAAGCACGCGGTTTGACTTACCGGATCTCGCGGCGGCGCTACCAGCTTGGGGAGGATTCCCTGTTCGTTGTGCCAATTGTAGATCTAATGTGTTCACTTCCGCCGCCTCTGGGGAGGCTCGGCTTCCTCCGAGCAGCTCCGCTGCTCGGCAAGGGCTTCTTACTCCACCTTTTGCCTCGCTGGCGCTTCGCGCACGCTGCATCGACCTACGAGGAGGTCTACCGAACGCTGCAGCAGGTGCGGTGGTGGTCCATGAGGCCTACCTCTCCTCGGTTCAGAGGTCGGCCCTGGAGGCAGAGGGGCATGCTGGCGACGTGTCGCCGCATGTCGTGCTGCTCCGTCAGCTTTCGGAAGTGCAGGCTCACCTCGCGAGCGACTCTTTGCGGTCTGCTGCGTCGACGGTGATGTGCGCAGTCATGGGGATGCGCAGGCTGTGGCTGTCGACGTCTAGGTACTCGGGCGCGGGAGGTCTGCCCCGACCTCCCGTTAACCCATCAGGCTGCCGCTCAAGCCGTGTGTCACGCCCAGTCAGCTCCGCTACTCGGGTCTACACACGCGCTCCTACCCCATATCCCAGTGGGAGGTCGCTCTCTCTATTCCTGCCGGAATGGGAGAAGGCTACCAACAACGCTTTGGGTGCTGGCCACGGTCAGCATAGGCCATCTCCCACTGTGGAAGCTGGTAGGTCCGCTTCGACTTCACCGGCATACGCCGTGACTCCGGTGCCGCCATGTCAAGCCAGGGCGGACATATTGCGCGACAAAGTTCAGGCTCTGCTGGACAAGTCCGCTAATCGAGCGCATTCCACCGGGAGAGGAACAGGCGATTTTATTCCACGCACTTCCTCGCCCCGAAGAAAGACGGCGGGTTCCGTCCGATTCTCAACCTCAAGGGGTTGAATCGCATACTCGGTACCATCCTTCAAGATGGAGACACTGGGCGCCGGTGATCTCATCTGTTCAGCCCGGGCGATTGGCTCACGCCAATCGACCTAAAGGATGCGTGATTCTGCATGTACTCCATACATCCATCGCTCAAGCAGTACCTTCGGTTCTCTTACGACGGGATGTATTACCAATTCAGGGTGCTCCCCTTCGCATATCGACTGCCCCAAGGGTGTTCACCAAGCTCATGTTAGTCCCAGCTACCCTAGCTCGCCGCAAGGAAGGCGCTGTTACCCTTACCTAGACGACTGGTTGCTCGAGCACTAACACAGCCAGCGAAAGTCAAGATGCTACTCACACAGTGATAGACATTCTAACTCGACTGGGGTGGATCATCAACCTCAAGAAACCGACCTGGTACCCACCCAGGACTTGGTTTTTCTTGGAGCGATTCCAAACGAACAAGGATCTCGCTTCCTTGTCGCCCGACCGGGTCACCAGAGTTCGGGAGATGGTATCTTCATTCCTCTCCCAGCCCCAGGCACCAGCACGGACTTGGCTCCGTCTACTGGGCCATATGGCGCTTAATGATCTCTGTAGTGTGGCGGGCGCGGTTGAGGATGAGTCCCATACAGCAAGCTTTGGCTCGGCTGTGGACTCATACGGAGGATCTGGAGCGCAGTCTCACAGTCCCCGAAAGTGGTTGACACCTCACCTTCAGTGGTGGACAAATGTCGGAATCTCACCAGGGGGTTCCCTTGGAAATCCCGACGCCAGCTCTCACAGTTCAGACCGGCGCGCCCCTCACGGGCTGGGGTTCTGGCAGTCTGTCGGCTTCCGGACTCTGGTCCGTCGTCGAAGCCCACCTTCACATCAACGTTGGAACTGAGAGCTGTGCGGTTGGTATTCGAGCGCTTCAGAGAGCATGTCCGTGGCCAGGTAGTCCGCCTTCAGTTAGACAACCAGACGGCCATGTCGCATATCCTGAAGCAGGGAGGCACGGTGTCCCCAGCGCCTCCGGGAAGCGTGGACTTTCTCCTCTGGTGCCACCAGTACGATTGTCAGGTACTCCCTGTTTATCTCCGGGGCTGGAGAACGGCGAGCAGAGCGCCTCTCTCGCCGGATCCTGGCCCCGCGACGAAAGTGGATGCTCGACAGGCAGATATTCACAGTAATCTCCCAGTTGTACCGGGTCGCTCGAGGTGGATCTGTTTGCGCCTGGCGGACGATCAGACACCCGTGTTCTGCTCTCGGATACCGGACCCAGGGGCGTTGGCTGCCGACGCCTTCCTGCTGGATTGGACGGGCAAAGTGCTCTGGGCGTTCCCGCCGTTACCACTCATTCCCCGTGTCCTTTCACAGCTGTCCACCCAGCCAGCTCGGCTACTTGTGCTACTGGCACCGCTTTGGCCGTCACAGAGCTGGTTTCCGGTAATTCTCAGGTTTCTGGCTCAGCCTCCTGTTCTATTACCTTTGCGACCGGACATTCTCACTCAGAACGGAGCGCCCCACCCAAATCCATTTGTGCCGCTTATCAGGCTAAGGGCAAGCCTCCCCCTGAGGGGTTGAAGGCTCACTCGGTCAGGGCAGTAGCCGCCTCAAAAGCTTTTGCATCGGCACTCCCCATTGAAGAGATCTGCTCCGCCGCTATTTGGAGCCGGCCAAGCACGTTTATACGCCATTATCAGCTCGATACGCATTCCCGTAATCGTGCGAGCTTTGGCCGTACTGTTCTCTCCAGTGGACAGTGTCCTGCCACCCTGACCGAGTGAGTCTTGGT